ATGCCCTCCATTGGGGGAGCTTCCTCACCTGCTGCTTCTCTCGCTCTTCCTGCTGTTTGAACTCATCCAGCACAGCTTGGAGACGGGTCTACGGAGACAAAGACACCAGACCACAATTATCAATACACTCTGTTAAAGGCTGCTGGTGCGGTATGTCAAACAGTGCAGTGAGTGAGTGATTCCCAAACTGCACTAACCCTCATCTCCTGCAGTTTCACAGATTGCTTTGCCTCCGTGGGAAAATGCAGGAATGTATGGTCACAGCACAATTATTTTTAAGCCAGCATGCAAATGCTCCTGGCTTCCATGGTTTTTTCGGGACACCACTTGAATCAGTCCACTAAACACATGACTTAGAAGAGACCCCAGGAGATCTCTCACCTTGAGGGCTAGGTTCTCTACTTTCATGATGAGATCTTCCTGGCGCTTCCTCCTGTCCTGGGTCTCCTGGAGTTTACTCTTCAGGTTGTCAATCTGTTTCTGGATGCCCATGACTGGAAGAGAGTGAGCAGAGACCTGCAGCAGAGGCTGAGCTGCCTGGCACCCCAATGATTCTGCAGCATTGCCAACTGACTCACCTATCTGGTTGGACCCCTCATTCTCCGGCTGTTGCCCATCGGATTCATTTGGTTTGTCCTGCAGCTGCCTTTCCAAGTCCTCCTCAGTATCCATGATGTTCAGGTCTTCATCATCATGATGATCCCGCTCATCTTCATCTTCACTGCTGCTGCTGATGTCATTAAATATCTCCCGCAGTTCGTCGTGTTCTAAAGAGTGAAAAATGGAAGAGGAAGAACAGAGCTGACAAACAACCCAGCACCCTGTGCCTGTCATGGGCACTGTCATTATATGGTGTTCATTTCAGTGCTGCCCTCTCTTCTTTGGGTACCTCCACTCCCGGTGGGTTTTACCTCATAAAGGAGAAAGCAGCCTTCCCCACTGTACCTGAGGAGCCATGGCCTTGTTTATGCCCTGACATCCCTGGGGAAGAAATGTCCAGGCTCGTGAGTGAACCATGGTTGTCCACTTCTTTTGTTTCATCTTCAGCAATGACTTCCCAGCCTGAGAGTTGGAGTGGATGAGTCAAGGAACAAATGAGTGTGAAAGGTGCAGAAAGCTAAAAACTGCAGCTCATCTCCCCCTCCAACAGGCACAGCCTTGCAGTTATGAATACCCACAATGATCCACCCCAGCCCCCCTTTTTGGAGACCTGCCCTCTACCGTTACTTAAGTTCCTGCTCAATGCAAGGAGGGTCACCAGGAAGATACAATAAGCTTTGAAAAAGGCAAAGATAAAGTTCTAAAACTTCAGTGTCACACGTATTTACCTCCTAACCTCTGACACCCACAGACAAAGCTGAACTCAGCTCTCTTCACAACCCCTAGATCGTTCACCCCCCCACCCAAGCTTTTTTTCTCCTAAAAGGATACGGACACTGACAGCTTCAGCATCAGTGCTCAGGAGACGCTTCACCTCCTTCTCCACATCAGGAGATTCAATGTACTGCATCAGAGAGGGGAAAGAACAGGCAACCCATGAAACAACTCGTGCAGGTAGCTGTGTGCTGCCCAGCTCCTATCCCCAACCTCCAGACAGAGCTCAGTTTCAAGCCTCTCTTCTCTTATTCCTTCCACTTGATCTTTGCTCACGCTTCACCTGAAAAGTAATTTATGCACCTCCAGAACAGTGATCCATATTTTTCTGTGCAGATCTCCCTGCTGGGTTGTATGCTCTCACTTTCCTACTACTCTGATGCACCCCATCAACAGAACTCCAGAAATAAGACTTCCTATGTGTATACTGAAAGTGCTCAAAGTGTCATTCACTGATGGATGGTCAACTCAAACGCTTCCCATCTCTCTCAAAAGGAGGTTTCATTTGTCACTTTTAAATCAGCCATGTATCTTAAGGTAGTGACAGCTAATCTCTCTTGAGGGCTATACGACTGCCTGAAATAATTTGTTTCCCAAATGTCATGCAAAATATCACTCCGCTGTGTTCTCAGAAACTGCAAAGCAGAGAGCAGTTCTTCCCAGCCTCATGGTGCTGCATCTCCCCAACACCTTTCCTGGCTTATGCGTTTGTACTGAGACAGTCTCTGAGCTCCATCTGTTGTCACTCCCCCAGCTGAAGTAACAGCTATTCTATTTGTAGTGCTGCTTGCTGGGGAAGTGAACGAGCCATGCATAGAGAGAAGAGTTCAGCTGGGAAAGCAGGAATGAGTGAAGTCTTACTTCCATGCAACCCCTTCTTCTCTGTGAGCAGGAAGAGATGCACTGTGACAAAGCAGCCACAAGAACAGAGTCCAGCAGTTCTCAGCACAGAGTGTATTCCCACCTCAGAGGCATTTTGGAAACACAAAGAGGAACACCCAAGGAAGGCTTTAAGAACACTTGCCTGCTTTCTCCCTCATCTCTGGCAAGGAAACATGCGAAGCAATGCTAAGACACTGCTTTAGGACGGATAGATAGTTACAGCTCCAGTATCTCTGCCCTCTGATTCTTTGGTTATTGCACCTGTCAGCATGAGAGAAACAACTCACCTTCTTCTTAGCTGTCTTCCTGAATCGTCTCTTCCGTACATTTTTCAGGGGAAGAGTAACTGCAACAGAGCAGATTGCATGTGTCAGGCAGATGGCCTAAGGAGAGAGCTGGGTCTGGCAAACCTGATCTGCCAAGAGGGAGAAGTTCCCTTCAGGAACCCAGACAGCGCTAAAAGCAGAGCAGCAGCACAGCCAGCACCCAGCAGAGCTGTGGGGATGCTGGGGCTGTGGGATGGAGAGCACAGGCAGAGCTTTTACTCACTGCCATGGTTCCAGATGAATTTCTTCTCTCGGTCCTTGTCCTTTTTTTTGTTTGCCTTGGGGTCAGTACTCACAGTCTGCTCTTCCAGAGGAGGGTAGAGATCGCCATCCACAGTGCAAACAAGCATCTGAAACCCCCATACAAAAACAAAGGTTGCTTATTGCAATGCAAGAACAAAAGGACATAAAAGCTTTGCTGGAAAATGAACAGGGGCTGCCAAAGGGATTCACAGGCACAAACAAAATCCAAACATCAAGCCTGTTTCTGAACTACTAATATGACAATACAGAAACTGGCCACGTTATACCGGCTGTCAATCCATTAAAGTGGGCACAGGTTTTCTCAGAGAGAGGAGCAAGCAAGAAGCTGCTGAGGCAGGCAAGAAGAACAGCCCATACCTGGCAGATATCTGCTGTCTTATAGAAGGTTTTCTTGTCGATGGTTTTTAAGCTCTCAATGATGCAGGGCAGGTCTACCAGCTTGGCTGCCAGCGGCACTCGATCCACACGAACGATCCCATGGCGCCCATCAGCTGTGCAAAGTCACGGGACAGGTTAGTGCTGGGAAGGTTGGAGAGGAGGAAAAACATTGTCTCAGAAGCAGCAGTGAGGCACTGGCACAGGCTGCTTCTCACTCACCGTGCAGCTCAATGGTGAGTCTGTCTTTCAGGTTGACGCTCCCGGACTGAACTGCTCTCCTCACAGTGGAGGCGTATTCCTGAAATGGTCGGGCAGGGTTATGCTGGGACCTGGTGTGTTGCTGCCCTTAAAGCCACTGAAGGTTTGTGTCCAGTCTAAGTTAGACATTAGGAGGAAGTTTTTCACCCAGAGGGTGGTGAGGCACTGGAACAGGTTGCCCAAGGAGGCTGTGGATGCCCCATCCCTGCAGGCATTCAAGGCCAGGCTGGATGTGGCTCTGGGCAGCCTGGGCTGCTGGTTGGCGACCTGCACATAGCAGGGGGTTGGAACTGGATGAGCGTTGTGGTCCTTTGCAACACAGGCCATTCTATGCTTCTATGATACCCAGCTTTAAACAACACTGTCAACCCAAGGCAGAAAAACAATTCTAAAAGCCAGCCTACAACCTGCAGGGAAAGCTGTACCCTCCTCCAAAAATCATGCATTAATCTCACAGGCCCACTACTCCTTGTGTGCTTCTTCCCCTCAAGAAAAATGAAGCTGTGACAGCACTGTGAGGCCCTGACAGTGAAATCCTGCACAGCAGCTGGGGGTACAGCAGCCTCATGTGGTCTCATGATCCAGTGCCTCAGGTTAAGCACATGCAAAATAGTGTTAAGCATGCTGATAGCAATAACAACTAACGACTTATCATTTGGTAATCATAGGATGGCTTGGGTTGGAAGGGACCTCAAAGCCCACCCAGTTCCAACCCACTGCCATGGGCTGGCTGCCCCCCAGGGCACTTCCAGGAACGGGGCACCCACAGCCCTGTGCAACAGTGCAAGGCCTCACCGCCCTCTGAGTGAAGGATTTCCTCCTGACATCTAACCAAAATCTCCCCTCTTTTAGTTTTAAACCATTCCCCTTTGTCCTATCACTACGTGAAGTCAATTCTCCTCCTGCTTGTGAGCTCCCCCATCCGCAGGGAGGTCTCCCCAGAGCCCCTTCCTCCCCAGGCTGAGCACCCCCAGCTCTCAGCCTATCCTACAGCAGAGCTGCTCCAACCTGGGAGCACCTCGCTCCCATCTCCGGACCCTCCCTGCTCTGAGAGGTCAGGTCACAGCACTCCATAGAGTGCTTTACAAGGGTAGAGCAGAGGGTAACAACCGTCCCCTCCCTCTGCCCACCCCTCTATAGGACGCAGCCTCTTTCCCAGCCCCATTTTCAGCCCGTTCATCCCCCCGGAGCGCCGTGCTCCGCCGTGCAGCAGCAGGGCAGTTCGGACGGAGCGGACAGCGGGCGCTCACCGGCGGCAGCCGCAGCACGAATTGGCTCTCCAGCTCATGCGGAGCGTCGTCCTTGTTCTTACTCATCCTTTCTGCCTTTCACCTTAAAGGAAACAAAAAGATCGAGCCGAGAACTCCACAGCTGGAAGTGGATCCATAAGAAATGCCGAGCCCGGCCCGGCTCCCAACGCGACCCGATACAAAACAACCCAACGCACAGCTCCGGGCGCCGCTCCGCGCAATGCCGGACCGCTCCGCGCAATGCCGGGCGGGGCGATGCCGGGGCGGAGCGCGGTGTGCCGTCCGGGCTGCCCGCAGCCCCGCACCGCCCGTTCCGTGCTGGGGGAAAGGCATCGCAACGGACCGGAGCCGCCATGGGAGCGGCGGGAGATCGGCACGGCTTTTACGTAGGGCTGGGTTTGGCTTTGGCTTCCAGCGTTTTCATCGGGGGCAGCTTCATCCTGAAGAAGAAGGGGCTGCTCCGCCTGTGCGGCCGCGGTCGTCCCAGGGCAGGTACGGCCCGAGCTGCTGGGGATCCGCCTGCAGCTGCGCGGCGCCTTCATTGCCGCGTCCGTTTCTCCCCCGCAGGGCACGGAGGACACGCGTACCTGCGGGAGTGGCTGTGGTGGGCAGGGCTGCTGTGCAGTGAGTACCGAGAGCTGGGGAAAGGCTGAGCGACGCTGCGGGTTTGCTCCCAGCCGCACCGACGTGGGGAGGAGGGACGCCGGGATGGGGGCTGTGCCTCTGTTCTGCCCTCCTGAGGTCCCGTATTGCATCCAGAACGCGGGATGGGTGCGGAGGAGCCCACGAGGATGCGCAGGGGTTGGGGCAGCTGTGCTACGGGGAAGGGCTGAGAGCTGGGAGTGCTCGGCCTGTGCCTTCCCTGCAGCCTTCGTGCACGGTGCTGCCCAGAGCCGGGCTGCACCATCCCTGTGGTGCCCGGGTGGGTGGCTTTCACCTTAAGGCTGAGTGCTGGGCAGCCCTGCCTGCAGCAGGGGATGGGAACTGGCTGACCTTTGAGGTCGCTTTCAACCCAGGCATCCTAGGATTGCTGAACTGTTTGATTTTTATCTCCTGAACGTGGGGATGTTGATCTAATTATAACTCTAAATTATTTCGAAGCCCTGCTAAATAGGAACTGAGGAACTGGTCTGACTGGGTTGGGTCGGTGCTCCTGACCCTGCCCAGACCCTGCAGTCAGGTGATGCTCATCCAGCACAGCAGGTAACACCGACCCAGCAGCTCTGCTGCATGCTTGTCAAACGTGACACTTGATTTACCCTGCAAAAAGCCCTAAGAACCTTTCCAGCAGAGATTAACTTAGAAAAACGTAACAAGCCAAAGCTCCTTTCAGCTTTGAGGACATGTAAAGATGTTTCTGTTGTTATTGCTTAGCTGGATGACCACGTGTGGCTGAGGATAACCACACGTCACCAGGAGCCTCCTGTGTCCTAGAAGGAAAAGCTTCTGCTTGTTTCGGTTGGCACTGTCCTCTCCTGGTTGCACATGGGAACTCTTCTGTCTGCACACAGATTTGTATTACACTGAACTGCTCTTTACTCTGATGTTCAACTGACAGAGTTTCTCTTGCAGTGGGAATTGGAGAAGCAGCAAATTTTGCTGCCTATGCCTTTGCCCCTGCAACGCTGGTAACTCCGCTGGGTGCTCTGAGTGTCCTCGTTAGGTAAGCAGCCTCAGAACCATCCTTACCTCACTTGCCACCACGAAGTGGTGAAAGCTGCACTGCTTTCCTCTGTCCCTTCCCTCAAATAGTCCATTCCTAACTGCTAGGCCTTTCTTGTTTTGTTGTTGTTGTTTTGTTTTGATTTTCCAGTGCGGTTCTGTCTTCCACCTTCCTGAATGAGCAGCTGAATGTTCATGGCAAGATTGGCTGTGTCCTAAGCATCCTGGGCTCCACAGTGATGGTAATCCACGCTCCCCAGGAAGAAGAGGTTTCCAGCCTGGAGTCAATGGCAGAGAAGCTGAAAGATCCAGGTAGCTAAATAAAAGGCGTCGTATCAACTTCAGACTTGGAAATAACAGTCCTGGGGGGGGAACAGCTTGACTAGACTGATGGGGACTCTCTTTCCCACCACACCCTGCAGCATTTAGCTTTCTGCTGCCCTCCTGCACGGTTCTCCTGTAGGGCTGTGTCCCCCTTCTTGGTCAGCATGCCCCCAGCAGCTAGTAATGTCATAGGTTCTGGGTGTGCCACTGCCCCGCTTGCTGCTCTGTCACTGGGGCTACTGTTCTCCATTCTGATAGAGCCTTTAATCATTCTTTCTCCAAGGATTCATTGTGTTTGCTGTGTGTGTCCTGGTGAGCTCCCTCCTGCTCATCTTTGTGGCTGGACCCCGTTACGGACGGAGCAACGTCTTGGTTTATGTTTTGGTCTGCTCTGCCATCGGCTCACTTTCTGTATCGTGTGTCAAAGGCTTGGGGATTGCCCTGAAAGAACTGTTTGCTGGGAAGCCAGTCCTGAAAGAACCGCTGGGCTGGGTGCTCCTGGTGTGCCTGGTGATCTGCATCAGCGTGCAGATCAACTACCTGAACAAAGCCCTGGATATCTTCAACACATCCGTGGTCACTCCCATTTACTATGTGCTGTTCACCACCTCAGTCATGACATGTTCTGCCATCCTCTTCAAGGAGTGGCAACACATGGTGCTAGACAACATCATTGGCACCATCAGCGGCTTCCTCACCATCGTGTCCGGCATCTTCCTCCTTCATGCCTTCAGGGACGTGCCCTTCAGCCCAGACCTCCTGCCCCTCTTCCTGCAGCAAGGCAGGGCAGACCTGCGCACGGCGTGGAGGGACACAGACAGACATCAGTCATGTCAGCACCAGCCTCTTCTGCCTTCGGAGGACAAAAGCTCTCAAAGCACAGAAGAGGAGGAAGGTGAAAGTGTATGAGGAAGCTTCTGAAGTGCTGTGAGCTCCCACCAGCAAGCAGCTCCTCCATGCAAGGTTGAACTTGCTGCATTGGATACTGCTGGGTACTTGTGTGTGTGCAGAGCCAGCAGTTGCCTTCTGCCTGCCTTGGGTGTGTGATCAGTGTGACCTCCCACTGTCTGGGAGCTGAGGCAGGGACTGCAGCCTCCTTCATTGTTCCAGACATGAGTGCTGAGAACAGCCCTGTTGCCAGGACCCAGTGCCTCTTCAGCTTTTCTTTTATGAGGGATTGATCTGCCCTTGCCAGGATCTGCACAGAGGCCTGCAGCACTAACACAGTGCTAACCCTTACTGAAGACAAAGACTGGGGAAGCCTCCGAGCATTTTTAAAATTTTTTTAGATTATTTTGTCACTGTTAATCTTCTAACGTGGTGCTGATATGATGTGGATAGAAGAGAAGTGCCTGGCCTTAAGGATGTCATACCCAGAGTAGTACTTCAAAAATTCTTCTGTAAACTGCTTGTTCAGCTCACTGTTAGAATTTATTTACAGGTTCACATCCAAGACAAGAATACAGCCAAGACTGGAGAACTTCAGTGGTGCTGCCATGTGCTGTTCTTACAGAGGGGAATCATGCAGCATCTGTTGTGCAGGCTGATGATGCACCTGCATACAGCATTAAAGCCAGCAGTGTTCAGTTACCAAGAAGCTGGAAATGTATTTGTACGAAGAGCTGGGCCAGCACAGAGGGGCATGAAGGATAACAGGGATAGAAAGAATGATGCAGGTGCCTGAAAGAAACTCAGGGAGGGATGGGATGGCTCACAGTGGAGACAGGAGGGACCTAACAGTCTATAGCTATTGAGGTAAGCTTTGGAAAGATGGGCAGATAGCTGTATCCTTGCAGGTTAGTATATGCATAGCTCTATTTAACTCATTCTGAACTCACTCCTAGGAAGGCTGCTGGCTACAAGACACCCATTAGATGCTCCACACACCCCATCTAGACACCCACAGCAAACTGTCATGCACAGAACTACTTTATGAGGTTTCTCTGTGAGAGCTCCAAGCCACATGTTAATAACATGGGTCACTCCATGCTTCCCAGAGCCAGGCTGTCTGCAAACAGTGCTGAAACGCTACACTGCGTTTCAGAAGGTGAATCAGTAGCTGCTGGTTGTTTTTCCAATTAGAAGCTCTGTGTAATTTCCTAGGGGCAAAAGTCCAGAAGACACAGCCACAGGCTTCCCTCCAGTAATCCCCACAAATAAAGGTGCAGGTAGTTACAAAGCAGCTGGCTGTATTTTTCCTGTACTTAGGCTCTCTGTAGAAACTATACAAGGAAGCAGGTTCTGTTAACCCTTAGGGGAGGAAGGGGAAAGGCCACAAATGTGAGCTTTGATTCATGGGACCAAATATGTTCAGCAACAAATCAGAATTCACAGCAGGTTGCCTACCCAGAAGGCAATTACTCCCCCTCTCTTCTAATTTTGCAAATAAATAGAATCACTAGGAAGGAGAAGGAATTACAAGAATGCCACACTTCCATTTTTCAGTGATCATCTACCTGAACAAAGGAGAATTTCATGTTAAAAATTTGACCCACTTAATATTTATTACATTGACTAGGAGAAAGCAATGAATGGAGCAAGTCAGTATTGAGAGAGCCGTGCTGCAATTTGAAAGTTTGCCACTTGACAACATGAATGACTTTGGGGAAGCCTTGAAATGTCTTCCAGCAGTTGACACTGCCAGGGATGTTCACCATGCCCAGCAGCTCTCCTCATTAGGGGTGCCTGTGCTGGTGCAGTCCTGCTGCTCTCCTTCTGCACAGCCATGGGGACTGCATGGCTCGTTGGCACCTACCGAGGAGGGTCAGTTTTGTGCAACGAAGGTGTGTGCAGCACTGTTTTAAGGCAGCAGTGGCATGCTTAGTGCTGGAAGCACCTCTGCTGGGAGCATCCCCACCACCACCACCTCATGCATGACACCTGCAGCCCCTGTGTCCCAGTGTGAAGATGCTTCCTGGTGATCGGGGATGGGCGCAGCACAACACCGCACTGAAGAGCGGGTGGATCCGTTACTGGCTCTCATCTGGCTGGCTGCAGCTTTCACAAAACCGTCATTTAATTAAACCCTACGCCCTGGAGCTGACCTCGGCTTGTTGGGGCAGCAGAGGGACAGGCGCAGGGTGCAGCAGGGCCATCCCACCCCCCATTTTTGGGGCCGCTCAGTCGGACAGGCTCTCCGAGAAGGCCGATTTGGATTTCTGCGTCTGTTCCAGCCGGTTCAGGATGAACTGACTGGTGTCGATGAAGCGCTCCACGCAGTTCACGAAGCACGTCTCAGCCCGGCTGTCCAGCTTCGGCCCGGGCTTGTCCATGCACTTCTCCTGTGGAGCAGTGGCTGCTTTGGATCCGGGGGTGCAGCCCCCCCCTTCAATCTCCCTCCCTTCCACCTCAGCCTCACTGAGGCCTCCCCTCCCCGGAACAGCCCGTGAGGCTCTCCTCGAACCCCAAACCCCGGCGCAGAGAGCTTCCACCGTGCCCCCATCTCCCTCCTCCCACAGGACGAGGCCCACCCCACCGCCTCCTTAGGTTAACCGCAGCCTCTGCGCCCTCCCGCCCTCCCAGCTCTCGCCGTACCCAGCAGAGCTCAGTCATCTGGTGCACCAACTGCTGGAACCGCTGTTTCTGAGTCTCCACCTCGATGAAGCGCTGGAGCTGCGGGTCGGCTCCCCCCAGCCCGCCGCCGGACGGCGCCTCCATGCCGCCGCCTCCACGACCTTCACGTGCCGCGCCGCGCTGCGACCGCGCATGCGCACACCCGCCCCCTTACTTCCGCCCGCCTGCCCCTCACTTCCGCCCGCCTGCCCCTTACTTCCGCCCGCGCTGCGCATGCTCAGTGTCGACAGGCCCGGAGCCGTTAGAGGGGTTTATTGAGGGGTTCTGTGGGGCTCCTCAGCCCGCGCTGTGTGCACAGCGGGTGCCCAGGCGCTGCCCCGTTTCCCCGGCCCGCTAGTTCCAGCCACCGGCACCGGGAAGGGAGGGCGGCTGGGGGTGGTCACGGCTCTTCGTCTGTGATGTCCACGATGCTGCCCAGCAGCGCGGTGAAGGTGGGGCGCTCCTCGGCCTTCTGCGGGGCGAGAGGAAGGGCTGTGGGGCCCGCACCGTGCTGTGCCCACTGCCAGAGCCACGGCGCACACGTACCTCGTGCCAGCAGCTGTACATGATGGCATAGACCCGCTCCGAGGCCTGCTGGGGCCTGTAGAGGCGCAGGCCTTGGATGACGTGCTCTGTGGTCTCGCTGTTGTTAAACCTCTCGTAAGGCATCTTTCCCAGAGAGTAAACCTCCCACATCAGCACGCCTGTGGTGGGAAACGGTGGGGACGCATCATAGCATCCCTGTGCAGCGGGCTGCTCACTGCTGTTGGGCCTCCTCCTGCCCCCTGAGTCATTAACCCTGTGTTCTTACCAAACGACCACACGTCGGATTTGCTGCTGAACTTGCTGTACAGAAGAACTTCAGGAGGAGACCACCGAACTGGAAACTTTGACCCCATGGAGCTTGTGTACTCATCATCCAGAACGTATCTGCAGCACATCAACAGATCAGGGCACCTGTCCTCCATTTCACTTCTCACTCATTCACGCAACCAACAAAGCCCAGAAGGAATTCACAGCTTTCAGAGTGAACAGAGTTTGCACTCTGCATGGGTTTCAAAAGGCAAAAATGTCCCTTTGCAGACAAGTTTATGTTAGTCAAGACTGGGAATGAGTGAGGGTGACATAGCAAGAGGCAAAACAGGCTTGTGGAAAGAAGGCTGCAGCCAGGAGCCTGGAGATGGGGGAAGAAGCAGCAAGAAGACAGGACAATGGGAATGAAGGATGTAGGAAAGGGATGATGGAAGGGTGAAGGAGGTTGAGCCAGACAGATGAAAGACAGGAGAAAGCAGAGGAAAAGCAGAACTAGAAAACTGTGGGGGAGATAGACAAAAGTGCAGAAGAAACTGACAAAAGCAATAGGAAATTGAGACAGGAAAGTGACACAGATGTGTCTACCAGACCTGGAAAGGCCAAAATCTGAGACTTTCACAATCCCTTGGTCATTCACCAAACAGTTGCGAGCAGCCTGTGGATGGAGAGATGGAGTCTGTCATTCCCACCTGCTCCTACTCTCATCTCCCTGTACCACCTGCAACTTTGCCTCATCCACATCCATCTAATGCTTTGCCCCATTTCATCTGGCAAGGCAGGACCCTCTAGGCCTCCTGTTTATCCACAAAGGGACAATTTCCCTGGTGTGATTTTGCCTTGACAAAGCAGCATGAGGAGGAGATCAGGTATGGCACACAGCAGGACTGCACGCTGGCAATGCCAGCCAGAGGCCTGAAAAACAACAGGCTCAGCTTTACATGGGGATTAAAGCTCCATGTCTGAGCTAGTGACGCTGCCTGTGTCACCTGATGCAAAGCTCTGTTCTAGCCAAAAATGCATTCCTGTCCCCCAGAAAGCTGTCTAATCCTTCCCTTTCTGTTAACCCACTGCACAGCAGTGACTTCAGACATGCCATAGTGGGCACCCTATATATGCTCAGGTGGGCAGGAAAGCTTGCAGAGATATTCTGATGAAAAGGCTGTAGATTCCTCTCTTCACACCAATGAATCAACTGGACCCTGTCTAGGACATGCTGTGGCTACAGCTGAGCTGGAGAGGTGTCCTTTGGCCACATGCCTACCAGGTCTCGGTGCAGAAACTGCTTGGATTCCAGGTACTCCATAGCTTCACAGACATCTTTGCACATTTCCAGCAGCTCAGCAGGCTGGAACCGCCGCTGAGTTTCCCTCAGGAAGTTCAAGAGACAGCCGTTGGCCATGTACTCAGTGATGATGAAGATGGGACGCTGCTTTGTGCAGACCCCATAGAGCTGCACCAGCTTCTCATGAGATAGGTTCCTGTGTTGGGGGCAAGAAGGGCATTTCTGAGCATCTGCAGGGACAAGCTGCAAAAGAAGCATTGCTGAATAAGGAGAGAGAGAATTGGGCAGGGAAAAGTGCTCCTGGAATGCTCACTGGCAAAACCAGCAGAAGGAGTACAGACTCCTGAAGTGCGGATTCATTTTGCAATGCATGAAGCCGCCTGATGCTGTCCCTCCAAACCATCTGGGAGTGCAGGTATTCTGACAAGAATATGCTGCACTGACCTGGGGGCTGCTCACCACTTACATCATGACTTTGGCTTCATCAATAAACTCATCCTCTGACATGGAGCCTTCCCTGATCATCTTGATGGCAACGTTGTATTGGCCTCTCCATTTCCCGTACTTCACCACGCCAAACTGCCCTGTCCCCAGTTCCTTCAGGAAGGTCAGGTCCTTCGGGTCAATCTCCCACGACCCTAGGACAGAGAGTGTGAGTGTGATGAGGGTGCAGGTTCCCTTCCTGCAGGATTCTCCCAGTCATCTGCTCTAGCTGGTCCAAGAAGAGCTCATAAGGATGTGTTGCCTGCAAGAATGTGCTGAAAGACCATAAGCATGCCTGAAAAACCATCACAGAAAAATCACAAAGTCCAAAACCTATTCATCCAGGGGATAGACTTGCAAGTCTCTTGGTCAGTACTGTCCCAGAGGGCCACAGAGTATTAGGAAGGGATTCCAGGGAACACTGTGGGCCCTGCTGTGGGGAAACTACCAGAAGCTCAGCCCCAAGAAGTTCCTGCAGATAGAGCACCCAAGCACCCTTCAGGCCCTGCAGCCAGGGAAACTTAAAGAAGCATGAGACAGCTTACCATAGCCCAGGCCAGCTGTGGAAGGGGCACTTTTCTGGTGTCGAGACACAGGATACTTCAGTCTGGATATGAGCCCTGAAACACAAAAAGTTGCATTGCCACACCATGATGTTTCAGCAGGGAATACAGGCCTCCTGCCTTCAGCCCAAGAAAAGGAGGATACTGTGAAGTCAGTAAAACCTGGTGGCCTCACTCTGTCCCTATACTTTCTTTGAGCTTGTCACAGCTTGTCCTTGCTTGGAACATTCTTGTTTCAGCTTTTCTTGGGCTGCATCTTCCTATCTCCATTCCCTGTTTGAGAGATGCTTTATCATCTGCAAACCCACATTGCTGGGTAGGTTAAGAGGGACAGGTTCATATTTTACTTTTGTCCAGAACAGGATTGATTGAAATTGCATCACTAAAAGAGAACAATGTTTCTTTACAGCCTAGTGAGGGCTGTTGATGGGAGAACAAAGTATTATTGAAAGATGTATGGTGGGTGTAGAGGGGTGTTTGATGGATGCTGTCCTGCAGGAATTCAGGGAAAAGGATGATCAGGGGGGTGTGAAGTTCCTGGGGATTCAGCCATGCAGAGCAGAGGTGTGTTTTCCAGGCTGTTTGCTCTGCTAAAGCTGCCACTGGGCTGTCCCAGAGCAGGGAGATGGTGACTGTACTCCACTTGTGTGGAGCCCAGGTGCTACCAGTTTATGAGGGGCATTAGGTTCAGGCTATGGCTGCAAGCTCTGCCTGCACCCATGAGCACTCACCGGCAGAGTTGTGCTGATGGTACGTGATGAGCTCTGGGATGGTGTTGAACAGATGTTTTTCTGCCAGGTAATACTGATTCTGAGGGGTGCAGCATACAACGTAATGGCGGATCATCCCTTGGGGGTCTCTGGAGAGACAGTGCATGGCATCAGCAGCTTGGGAAGGGCAAGCAGAGAGTGAGAGGTGCCTGGAGGGGCCCTCTGAGATAGCGACAAGCTATTCTTAGATCCACTTACACAGCGGACTTGGCATAAACAGAGACAGTGTATTTCCCTGTCTTGCTGGTAGAGTCTCGGACAATGAAGCCCCCTTCCTTACCCTAAAAGAAAGAGGGTGGGGGGGGGAAGATAGGATGGGGTATTTGTGAGGAAGTGAGCATAGCAGACAAGAGGGACAATCACAGCATGACTAGAGAGGGTGTGGTGAATGAGGAGTCCTGCTTGTGGCCCCTGCTTTGGGGCATCTACTGACTTGCTCTCTGGGAGGAGGTCACAGTGGAAAGAGAGAGTTCCTAGGGCTGCTGGGGTAACAACAGGGTTCATTTGTTTGTCCCCCAGGCAGTGCAGGCTAACTATACTGCTGGGCTGCAGTGCTGGGACCATGGGACTCTCAGCTACCTGAGTAATTTCTGGTCTGGATCTAGCCAGCTTTATTCTCCATGTCAGCTACAGAAGAAGGGGCAGTCTTGCATTGCTCCTAAACCTACTGGCCCTCAATATCCACTGCATTTAGAAACACATCGTTTCACTGGAGAGAGACTGATTGACCCTGATGGAGGCCACGTGCTCCTCCCTCCCTTTCCAGCTGTGAACATCGAAGGAGCTGTGGGTACTGGCCTGTTGTCTGGTGGCTTAGAGATGTGCCCAGCTTTCCCTTCCCAGTGCAAGCCAGGGTTGGCCCATGCTACATGTGAGGTGACAGCAGCCTGCAGAGGTCGTATGTGTAGAAGACACAGACCTGGGAGTCAACACTAACCTCCTGCTTCAGCAGTTGCTCTGCTTGGCTCCGAGTGATATTCTTTGAGTACCACCTGGAACAGGGAGGGAGACAACCATCAGGAAGACCCCCAGGCCAGCCCTGTTCCCGTCCTGGCCTGATTTTGGCCCAGAACTGGATGTAAAAGTTCTCCAGCCAAGCACAACTTGCCAGATCGCCACACTTTCTCCTACTCACTCGTAAATCTCCAGGGAATTGCTGGTTTCAGTGACATAATTGCTGGGGATGTATCCTTCCCTTCTGCAGGAGAAAATAGTTTGAGAGTCTGAGACCAGTTGGAATTCCCCAGTGTCAGGTGAGGGTCCCTGGGGCTGCCCCAGGAGCAAT